CGGCGCCCCTGGCTCACTATCTCTTGGGCCTGTCGATGTCGTCTATGGCCGCGAGGAGCTTTTGCCGCGCCTTCTTGTTGATGTGAGAGCCCAGGCACACATTCACCAGGTTGGTCAGCTGCTTGGAGGAGTACTCCTGGCCGGAGAGAGAGGGCAGAGGCGTCAGATTTCAGAGACAGGACGGGCCCTGGCACCCTGGGCCAGGCGCCCGGTACACAGGAGCCGTCCGGCAGCCCCCAGGACCCTCTTCTTGGTACATTACACACGCACCACGTGTTCAGTCCCTGAGAGCCGACTGACCCAAGGCCTCGGGGGAGGTCTGTCCCTGCAGGATCCCCACAATATAGGAGCCTCCTCCTGAACACCCATCTCTCCCGATGGGCAGCCTCCAAGGGCGGGGAGGCACCCAGAGCCTCCCAGGAAGGCCTCACCTGGAAGCGTCCTCACTGGACACACACCAGCTAAACGCCAAAGTGAACCAGGACGCATAGACATCCCCAAATACACGGGCCCCTCTGTGGGGCTGGAGCAGGTCTAAGCTCCACCTCTGCTATCACCTTTTCCCTGTGTCCTAAAAGGGGGTGGGGGGGTCTTCCCTGAAACTGTGCCTCAGACAGAAGGAGGCCTGGCCGTGCAGAGCACAACACGCCTCTCCTGTTAGCGATATCGGGTGTACAGAGAAGGCCCCCATTCCAGCACCATCCAAAAGAAGAAAGCCACCAGTGCTGTGCACCCAAGGCGGGGGGTGCCCTTGGCAATCAATGGTGGCAAAAGGGACCGTGCACACAGGTCCCCCGCCCAGGCCCCACGAGGGGGCCGGCCAGGGTCTGTGGACCCAGAGAGGGGCTGACGGAGCTGCCCAAGGCTTGGGGCCCTCCGTCCTTAGTGGGACAGTACAAGGAGAAAGCACCTCTAGAGTCTGGGAAAATTCATCCTTGGACATTCCACAAACAGCTCATCACAAGGAAAAGTCCAGAGACAGAAAACAACTAAGTTTGGTTGTGGCTCTAACATATAGATGAGAAATAACTTTCCCCAACACTCCCCGAGAAGGACAAAAACCAAACCTAGCTTAGGGCTAACAAAGAAACCGCCAGTCTCGGGGTCAGGAAGACCCTCACTCTAGCCCCGCCTCAGATATTGACCAGCTGTCTGGCCCTGGGCCAGTCCTTTCACTGTTGCCTGCCTCAGTTTCCTCTTCTGTGAAATGGGGGTAAAAACAGCACCAGTCCCCTAGGTCTGCTCTAGGTCATTAGATTAGTCACTCTCATTCTCATTCCTGAGGACCAGTGAAGGGCCAGGGCTGGGCAATGAGGGAGGGCCCAGACTCCCCCAGAAATCTTCTGTGTAGCCAGAATCGGCCTACAGCCGTTGCGGACACACACACCAAGGCACATGGCCAGGCCCGCGCTTCCCAAGGCTGAGCTGGCACCTCTGCCCAAGCTCATGAGGCCAAAGCAGCCACCATACCACCTTGGGGGCCATCTCAGAGGCTCTCACCTGACTTGTGACCTGCTCTGGTCTGGGCTCAAAGCTGACCGCTCACTCTGGCCCTCTTGGTCCTCCTGCCTGCCTGTCCTGACTGCCTGCCCCTGTCCTGACCGCCAGCCCCCGTCCTGACCGCCAGCCCCTGTCCTGACCGCCTGCCCCTGGCCTGACCACCCACCCATCCTGACTGCCTGCCCCTGGCCTGACCGCCT